TATTTTAGTTTATTTCGTATTTTAAATGCGTATGTTGTGACACAAGTAGACAAATTTATCGCACTCTCCGTTCATCTGTAGATACTGCAGTTGCATTGCAAGCAAGAAACAAAAATATAACTCTCTATAGTGGAAACTAATAATATTTCTATACCGTTAACACATGCTTTAATATTTGTTGGAAGGGAAAAGCAGAGTATTAGATAAATCATAGTTTTCCACTTTCCACGCAGCACCTGTCCCATTGAACAAAGGAGGAAACTTTTCCGACAGTGAAGGAGATGGCATTCACATGGTAAACTAAATTTTCATCATATGCATCATCAATAATTCTTTTATTTTTTATTTTTCTATGACATAATGTTTTATTAAATTTTTAAGGAAAGAGATGAATCACCGACTGTATCAGAAATAAGAGAAGGAAGACGACAGTGTGAAAGTGAGGAGGAAGGTGAATGCGAGGATGCTGCAACGAATCATTTAACTGAAGCAACAACATCTGCAACAGAATGGATGGGTGTGACAACGAACAGCGATGAATGCAGTTATAGGTATAAATATTTAAAAGAAAGAATGTGCGAGGCCTCTACGCGTGATAAAAGTGAAACTCGTATAATCATGTGGAAAATAATCAATTGATTTATATGTGCAGTGGGTGTTCATTAAAATTTTACACTGTTACACTTATTAGATTTTTGCTTGAAAACCATTTATATAGTGTATTTAGGTTGAAGAAAATTTAAAAAGAAATACATTTATATATTTTAATTAGATATTTAATGAGTTTCACTTTAAAGGTTTATTTATAATCAATGAATTAAACAAATACAAAAATAATGTATAGGATACGTCCATACTTTAAAATCATATAATTTTAAGAGCAGAAGAAATACTCGGTTTTTTCATGTCTAACAATTGAACATTCTTTGTTTTTATTGTTATTTAAATAGTGTTTAGTATCAGAATCAGTTTAATACTCGTTAAAGTAAGAATAATACATAATACTATTTGTTTAAAAATTACATATACTTCGAATAAACAACTTCGATCTGATATTTTAATTAGATCAAAATTTTCAACTTAAAATCATGACTGGCCAGAAACGTTAAAACAAATGTATTGTTGTTTAAACAATTCAAAATATTAGTAGAATGTATTGGAGTGTTCGACACATCTTAAATAATTGTTAATTAATCGATAGAAGTGCCTATTGTTGTCTAAAAGCTCGGAGAATATGATCTATGTATCATCCTCTTCGAAATTCATCTCTAGACTTGCACGTTGTCATCTATGAAAGTTCTTTTATTACATGTTGTTTATATGATAGGAATAATATTCATAATAAATAAAATTTCCTTTTATTAAATTGATTTTGATACACACACACCACAACTAAGGCTAGAACCTTTCATAATTTCGTTCAATTTTCGATCGACTGAGAGTTCTATCTCATTCTTTCTCTTCCTACCTTTATGCTCTCTCTCTTTTCATGTCGTTTTATAAAATTTTATTATTATTGTCGTCTATAAGATGTTTCACTTCAAAAAATAAGTGAAAGATCTTATAAATATATGTTATAATACAATATAATTCTTTTTCTTTTATAGTTCAGAACTGGAAGAAATAGATTTGCATGGTGAAATAAATTCAAATCATAACGAATTTATAGAACATCCTTTCTCTTGGGAATTTGGAATACCTCCTTCTATTTTATTAAGTTCCAGTTGCGCTTCATCCGATCGTAGTTAGTTCCTTTCTTTTAATAGATATATTTATAATAAATAATAATAATCTATATATGTTACTTTTATTATAATATTAACATTACATACACAGTTTCCTGTACTATTTGGACAAGACGTGATGTGAAGAAAGCAGAATTGTCAGTACTTGATATAAGTTCTGCTATTATAGAAAGAGTAGAATCAATGCCGGAAAGTATGAGTTATTTTTACGGTGGATTGGTATTAAGTATTGTATTATCTTTAGTACCATCGTTTAGACGAATAACCGACACTCTTGGAACAGATACCAATTGTAATGTTACTGTTCCCATTATACCAGACGATCTCAGACAAGCTAATTTAGAAACTTACACTGATATTGTAGGTAGAATAATTGACATTGCTTTTGGAGATACAATATTGTAAGTTGTTTTTTCTTTCTCAGCACACATACACACACACAAACACACATACAAAAATATATTATGTGATGAAGTGAAAATGATATAATTAATTTCATTACAGGAAACGTACTATTATTCTAATATCAGCCTTCGAAAGACTTGCATTATCTTGTTTTCTGTTCTTTTTATTGGCAGTCGCTGAACGGACCTATAAACAAAGACTATTGTATGCTAAATTATTTTCACATTTAACTTCATCCAGACGTGCAAGAAAGTCTGATTTACCACATTTTCGGTTAAACAAAGTGAGAAATATTAAAACATGGTTAAGCATCAGATCTTATTTGAAGGTATCTTCAATAAATATTTTATTTATTTTGTCTTTTAATATATTTGTTCATATCTTTGTGAAAATTTTACAGAGGAGAGGACCACAACGTTCTGTAGATGTTATAGTATCTTCAGCTTTTATTGTTACGTTATTATTATTATCTTTTATCAGTTTGGAACTAATTAAGGTAAACTATTTAATATTCTTATTAATTGATATTATTACTTTTTACTATTATAAAATATGTTTAATCTTTCTAGGATCTTGAAAGTTTACATTCGCAGTACAACGTCGAGGCATTGTTTTGGAGTTTTTCGTTGGGAATATTTATTTTACGCTTTATGACATTGGGAACGAAAATAAATAAAAAATACAGAAATCTTTCGATTCTGTTAACTGAACAGGTATGTAAAATTATTTTTATAAAGATAATTAAACAGTTAAAGTCTTAGAAAAAATTTATTTTTCAGATAAATTTACATCTTCAGATAGAGCAAAAACCCCATAAAAAAGAGGAATTAATGGTAGCTAATAGCGTATTAAAATTGGCAGCCGATTTGATTAAGGTGTCATATACTTTATGTTTTTTTTTTTAATAGATTAAATTAAATTAATGTTTATTAATTTTCAAATTATACTGTTTGCAGGAATTGGAAAGTCCCTTTAAAATATCTGGCCTATCCGCTAATCCATATGTTTATACGATTACAAAAGTGGTATTATTGTCGGCCCTCTCCGGAGTCCTATCTGAGTTACTTGGTTTCAAATTGAAATTACATAAAATAAAAATAAAGTGAGATGAAGTATTATCTCACTTATCTACCTCGATGTTACAGACTGATTGCTGAAAATAATTGCATGATGTATCAGCATATCTGTAAATTTTGATTTTGATTTTTTGTTTTTTATTTATTAGATCTTTAAAAAAAAGGAATATATTTGACTAACTATATATACATTTAGTTTTACGATTAGATAAAATAAATAAACACATCTTCGTCGTTAGGTCTTTTCTTTTTTCCGATAATTTATTTACGAGTAGTGCATAACTTTTTCTAATTGAACAATCAATCTCACGTGTAGCTAATATTGTATACTATTTTTGTTTTCTTTCGCAAAATATTGTATAACGCATCTAATTACACAAACTTATTACAAAATTTAATTTTTGACAATATTCTAAGTAAAAGAATATATATAGATATTAATTAATGGTTGCGTCTAACAACTATTAAATTTGAAAATGAAAGAATAAGAAATATTTAGTCTGACTAAAATTTATTGTTACATAGTAATTTTAATTCTTACTTTTAACATATCGCTACACGTATGCGGTGAATACGTATACATATATGAATATCATTCTTTTTGATAGTTGTACAAATGAAAAATAGTATGTAAATATCCTGATATATAATCTATTAATACACAAAAAAAATAAAAGAAAAGATAGTACCTGTGCAATATAAAATTCTATTAACTATATATATATATATATGTATATATATAGTTATGTTTCAAATAATTATAAATGTATTTCGAGATATGTTAAATAAATATATAACAAACACAATGAATAAGTATATACCAATACGCAAATAAAGATACATAAAAAAAACAGGAACGAATTACTAATGAAAAATAACAAAAATTGAACTTTGGAATTAAGGGTCTTTGAGTTAGAATGTAAAAAGTAAAACCTATTACGTTACAATGCAATACTTGAGTTCTATAAATAACAATGAATTCATATCGTCGATACTAATACTTTTTTTTTTCAATATAACCAATTAATGAATGAACTACTTTGATAATAAAATTAACTAAATCTAAATAGTAATAATAATGATAATAATAATGTTTATAGATAATATAGAAAAGACACTTGGATGCTTTTTATAAAATTAATATTTTATATAAATATTTTTTTATAACATTCGATAGAAAAATTAATTAAATAACTTCATTGACACAGATTTAAATTGGCCCTGAACTTATATTACGTTTTATTTACGAGTCTCTAGACTCACGATTAAGTTTATGTTCATCTATTTGCTGATTCACAATGAATTCATCAAAGATACATATATAAAGTATTATTGCATCATCCGAACGGAAAAAAAAAAGGTAATAAAAAGCTATATTTATATGAAGCATTATTTTTAAATGGATACGCCGAGAGTACATTTTTTAATTATATATTACTCATATTAATTTATTGTATATATATATATATATATATATATATACTTTTACTATATATATTTACTTTTAATAATTGAATACTACAGAATAATAGGAAATAATTTCGTTTAAATTAAAGTAATAATATGTAAATAGGATGACACGTAATATATATTTAAGAAATAAATAAGTTGTAAATGAGGGCACTTAAAGCATATTAAACATTTCAAACGTCACGTTATAACGCGCGATAAAAATTAGCCAATGAGAAAGCGTTTAAGGTTACGCCGATGTTTTGGCCCGAATTCACGCGATCTTAGCCGAGTTTAACCGAAACCGCGGATTCGCGGGGAACGTGCCTCAGTAACGCGCGAAAGGGGTACGGAGTAACATATAAGTGACAAGTGAGTAGTAAGTGTAGTGAATAGTGAGAGCGTGCCAACGAGTGTTTTGTGGTTCCAGAAATATTTTCTCTATTTTTTTTTTATTTTTTTTTGTTTGTTATTAAATTAAATTTATCATTCCCATAATCATGGCCGATTCTTTGCACTACTACGATGGTTTCCGAACATTCTCATGGTTCGCAGATTTCGTCGGTTTGCCAATCGATCAGGTTAGAAACATAATAAAGATATATATATATATTTTTTCCTCATTCCCTTTTCTCTTTCGATTAATCTATTTTTTCGTTTTCCTTTCTTTTCCTTTTTTCTTCTTCTCCGCGTCATTTTGACGACGCACGAGCGTCTATTAATCTTCTATCGCCTGTTGACTGTATATGGACCTTTCGAAGCTGCATCGATCGTTTCTTCTTCCTCTTTTTTTTCCCCCCTTTTTTTCTTTTAAATAGGAATAATAAATATATATATATATATATATAATTATATGTCGTTTATATCAATTTCAAAATGAATTATCATATGTCAAATTTGTTTCATCGATATTTAGAATTATTTTTTAAATTAGAGGTTAAGATTATCTCATTTTTTATCTCTTTCGCGATATAAACATTATTTTCTTCGTTATTATTATTGTCAAGAATAAATGAATCGATAATAATACGTATAATTTTGTTTAATTTATTTCAGTTTAATTTATTTTCGTAAGAATTTTAACGCGGCCATGTAAAATTTGATTTCGCTTATCAAAAGAACATAATATATACTTTTGTTTTTACAACGATAACTTCACTTTACACTTTTTATTTATATTTGTTTCTTTTGTTTTTAAATCTTTTTTTTCTTTTTTTTTTGTAAACATTACACGTGAGAGAATATATACTTTAAATAATAAACAGTGACCGGGTTTATTTTCTCATAATTTTATGACATACGTATATATATATGTATATGTATATTAGTGTAATTGTATATGTGTTATTAGTGTAATTTAAAAATGTCCTGCTATTAGTTACAATCTAAAATGCAAGCTGGTTTTATCTCTTAAATTATTTACTAATTAACAATTGACCAATTATGCTTCAACACTAAATATATATTATTATTTTTAATTTGTTTGTTTGATATATAAAATATAAATATAACTATATGTACATATATACAAGTATATGACATCATATACGAGTATGTGGTGGATTAATTGATGTGTAATTCAAAATGTTTTACTATTAGTTGCAATCTAGAATGCAAGCTGGTTTTATCTCTTAAATTATTTTCTAATTAACAATTGACCAATTATACTTCAACATTAAATGTATATTATTATTTTTAATTTATGTGTTTGATATATATATGTACATCACACATACACAGTTGTATTGTACAAGTTGAAAAAAAGTTGATTTAAAAAATTTTGTAATTTTTAANAAGTATAAAAAATATTTGCCGAAACTTTTCAAAGAAATTGCAAGGATGCACAATTTGCAGCATTGCTTTCTTTGACATTTTTTGAACCTTTGCAAGTTGATTTATAACTCGAAAAGATACTTTACTCGTAGCCAAAAAAATGTACTTTAATTTTATATAAGTTTCATTAAAATTTATTCACTTTTAGTATAAAAAATATTATCTGAATGCTCTTTGCTTTCATAGTAATGCCGAGGAATTACTAGCAATGACTGATTTCCGGCTTTGACGGTAATATATATATATATATATATATATATATTTCGTAACGTGCAACAGGTCTTTCTTATCATTTTGTTTTAATTATATATCTTTCCTTTTATTTTTATTTTTGTAAATGCACTCTAATCTCCAGAAAGGAAATCAAACGTGGATATCCAAAATACGTGGACTACTAACACAGGAATTCTATTTTTAGTTAAATATTTCTCATCTCGTCACATATATACATTTCATTCATGTATTACGTCTCAATGAAAGTAGTACGAAACTAAGTAGGGGGTCATCGATCAGCTGATATTATTCAATGAATCATATGTTCATACATATGAACCGTTATTTTTCTAATAATACTTCTCCGTATATTTTATTTATTTATTTAATTATTATTTTTTGTTCATAATATAATTAACTTGTAAAGTTATATATTATAATCTTAAATAATTTATATTTTTTTTTGTCTCGAATAATTATTCTTTATTATGATAATTAATTAATCTCTCTTTTTTTCCAGATTGCATAACAGTTATGCATGATTTATTTAGATGCACGTGTTTATGCGTCGTTTTTTATTGTGGTTTTTTGTTTCTTTTCTTTTCTTTTTTTTTTTGTTTTACTTTTAAAAACATTCGATGTTCCAATTTTTTTTTATGATTCTTATTATTTTTAATGATACGTAATCTGTTTTTTAGATTACAGAATAATATTTGTAATATAATCTTTTTTTTTTTTATCGATCAATAATCATGCTATTGAAAGGAGCGTCAGAGTGTTACAGTTTCTAATAATAAACAAGCAACGTAAGCATTTCAAATAGATACACGTAATAACTTAGGAATTTATTTATGTGATAGGTATAATTATTATTAATAGTATTATTATTATTATTATTATTATTATTATTATTATTATTATTATTATTATTATTATTATTATTATTATTA